GCATTTCATGAAATGCAAGGAGGGGATGTCCAGTCGCAATCCGAGACACCCACCCCCGACCCTACTGAGGCTTTCGAACGGGAACAGCCGATGCAACGTACTGAAGTCAATACTTCGCTACTCTCACGATAACAAAAAACCACACATGGGATGTTCATGAGTTTTGAGGGCACGTAAGTTCCCGATTGTTTAGACCGGCGATGTATAATCTTGGGTTCTCTGAGTGAAACCTGACTAGAAAGTCGAACCTGCAAGGTCGCACAGCAGAGTTCAAATTACACAGTCTATTGAGAACCAGTGACCGGTTCAAGGGATCATACATTTTTGGGGTGAATAATCCAGACGATGAATGCAGTCGAAAGTAGAAGTATTGTCCCTTTTTGGTCAGTTTGAAATCAGTGGATTTTGTCAGCTCCCGTAAGTAAACTTCCGGCAGTTCACTAACCTGGTTTTAGGATCGGATGATGTCTTAAGTAAACAAAATACTTTAACCGCGTGAAATCGAGTTACACTTCCTCCGCAATTATTATTTGGAGCAACTGGTTAGGGTTTCCAACCCCTCAAGTTGAAACTCGATGAGAACAATCTTTAATTTGTAGTTGTTGTTGTTACTGTTGAAGGCGATCGTCGTTGCTTGATCTGTTCGAGGAGATTGCTTGACAGTCGTTTAGAGGCATTTCCGATCTGCTCAGGGATCCCAAATGAGCGTTGAAACTGACAAATACAACTGAGACGCAGGCTGAACGCTTTGGAGCATTTGAGGTAGGTTTTAGTATAAGTCATTCTTCATTTTAGGAGTCCTGAGCTCATTCGGCACGTATACAAGTACGACGACCAAATACTGATGCTTTCTTTCGTTGACGCCGATCCGAACGGAATCATCGAGATGTGCAGCGAACTCATAGTCAGCTATTGACTGAGATCTAGTCAAGAAGCAAGCGTGTATTCTTGGCACTTGGAGCAATAACTAGATCAACTGCATCGCCAGTGTTAGACTCTGAATTGAGCGAAAAAATGGAACCTGGGTTTCTCGGTAACCATAATTGGCTAAACTTGGAATGGTCTTTACAACAGGTTTGCAACAAGTTACTTTCTGCTAAAACCAAATGATCTGCGAGATTGCCAAAATCACTCATGCACCAGAATAACAGTTTCATGGTTAGCATTCATGATAGATGAAAACCAATGGCAAGGATGGTTAAATATCACTACACAGTCATTCTCGAAGAATGAAGAAACAAACGAATAGACTACTCAAATCTACAGTTAACGTGGTAAGGTTATCTAACTTGCGTGACCCAAGAACGAGGAGAGATTGGGCGATCGAAAGATCGAAAGAGATCAAAGTGTGACAACTGACCTTTTAATCCCGAACGCACGATCGACTGAGTTCGTCTATTTTATAAATTAAAAATGCTCATATGACATTTCATAAAGAACAAAACCATGTGAACTGGGATATGGAAGGAAAACAAAGAACTTCGCATCTGTTTTCACTTTCTTCCCAAGTTGTTTACGCCAAACAAGCTCTATTTGTACACAGACACAAACGATCCGGAACGTTTCAAAGAAACGAACGAAGCACTCAAACAAAGAAGGATCAAAGTTCCTTGACCGTGATAAAACCTATATGGAGCATCAACTGTGCTTGCGTGTAAGCTCCGTTTGAGAAGAATAAACAATTTTTAGGTGGTACTGCCAAGCGGAGTAAAGCGGACGAAGAAAGCACATCCCGTCGAAGAGGACAAACTGAGGATAGATGTGCTTCGAGGTGAACAAAAATAAAAGTGTGAATAAAGCTAACAACAGGCGTACGCACATACGCACGCACACGTAAGTGATGATAAATGAGGCAGGTAACACCCACCATTGAAATGATAATGATCTAAGCAAGGAGTTAACAGGAAATGGGAAAAGAGCGAACGGGAGTACCGTGACACTATGACCGCGTACGTGTGGGGTGTGATCAAGTAACAACGCATTTCCGAAGAACTGTTAACCGCTCCAAGAAAACAATGTGCCCCGTTTTCTGACAGAAAATATCGCTGAATTCTATGCCCACCTTTTGTAGCGGATTAAGTCTGCGTGTATACCGTATGTCACAATGGTGTTTCAAGAAAGGTCATTAGTATTGTTCAAAAAATAGCTTCAGAGAATATTCGGGAATTCCGCTTATGCTGCGTGTCAGGTCAGTACGATTAAGACTACAATTGAAATATCTACTGGTGGCTATTGCAAGCGTACTGTAAGCGTTAAACCCCCATAGGTAGTAGAGAAGCTGGGCGCACTTAGTGGAGCACAGCATGGCAGTTGAACTGGCCAGAGACCATAAATACTGTTAGGATGGTCAGTGAAAAAACACCCCTGGCCTTTAATGATGAAGTTAAGGTTATGTAATTATATACGACAAAGAAGTGTACGTAAATGGAACTGCATCCCCATTCGGGACTGGGGAAAACGTGAATAAACCTGGTTGTGGAAAAAGACGCTTGCGTGAAAAGTAGTTCGGAGGAAGGAATGCCCACCAAAGACAGGAAGAGGCAAGTACATCAACCTGAGAAAGTGAAAACAACGAAGAAGCAGTGGCTGAATGGGAGTGCGATTCAAGTCTGAGAACTAATGCGAATAACCGCACTACAATCCTAAGAGGACTCCGTTTCAGAAACAGAAATGTTCAAAGAAATTAGCTTTTTACGGGAAGACAACATCGCTGAAAGCAATTGATGAAAGATTCCATTCTGATGGCAACTGCTAATCAAAGGTTACTTCCGACCTTATTTTAACCGCGACAGACACCGATACTTTCTTAAGAACCTCAGTATGGTCAGCGGTGAGTGTCTCGGATTGCGACTGGACATCCCCTCCTTGCATTTCATGAAATGCTCCCATATGACCAAGCGTCTCAAATAGCCTCTGCTGAGGAAGCCCGACTCAATGCCTTCCCGTGGCGGGTGTTTTCCCACCAAAGTGAGAGGACAAAAAGCCGACATCCGAGGCTATAACCGGGTTGGTGAACCATTGGAAGTTTACCTAAGAGAGTTGGCTAAAAACCCTCATTCCAAACCATCCAAGGAGAGGTGTACGAATCACACCCACACCTTTCAGGTCGTGACACGGGTCATCGGCTCGATTGGGCACCATGGACGTTTGACCTCGTCCGAAGGGCGCATGATTCAGTGTACGGGACATCGGCCTCCAATGGATTGCGCACTCTGAGTTCCGTTCTGTTGTCTTGCAGGTCTGGCTCTCTAGCGAAAGGCTTCGGGTGGGGACTCCGAGGCCATCCCACTTCCTCGACCAGGGCAACCGGGAAGTAACATGTCCACAAAACCTATGAACACATTCTTCAGATTTCTTTGTGTTGATATGTTATGGTGCATTTCCCGGTTCTCTGCAGTTGGTTTCGTGTTGAAATAATAAAATAAATATTCCCTTAGTTCATTATAATGCTCCAATCATTTTGCAACTGAGTATGGTTATTGATCTGATTACCAAGTTCGTTTATTTTTCTGGCGTGATAAATGTAATTGTACTCGCACTGCATCCATCAAGTAAATGAGTACTCCGACATAACTGCATTTCTTATTCAAATGCCAAGTATCACTGAACGTCATGTGCATATGCATTGTTCTTTCACGTTTTTCCCATCCTCCTCAATCATCGGTGTTCGGGGACCACGTAGTACATGTATGTTGTGTTTATAAACTGAAGCGAACCGATCATCATTGAATCCTTACAAATATCGCTTCGACCCCGGATTCATATGTGACACCTCCCGTGCATATAACTGGAAAATGTGCCTGGTTTTAGTTCTCATCACAAGTCCGTTCCTACTCTGAAACACATCATTGTCGGCGGCATCGCGTACGGGACTGTTTTTCTCTGTCGAAATTTTGGTATTCCTCGAAAGTGGCATGTGTGCCTCCCTCGTCTTTTAATTTCCTGTTTTACCGTAAATGTGAAATATTAATAAGTAATAAGCACAGAGGCTATTGCACCATAATAGAAGGGAATACTTTTTATAATGAAAACAGCTTACACAGTTCAGTTTTCAAATCACATGCTTGTCCTTCATCGTGTATCGTAAAATTGATGTCTGGTTTCGAGGTTATATCCGGTCCTAGCCATGCTGCGTTTAAACATTGAGAAAATCCACGTGCCGAAATAATGTGTACCACTTTTTGTGAATAGATGGGTGTAACATTAGATTATTGAACATCAAGTTTTGTCCAAAAGGTTGCATACCTTTTCAGTGACTGCCTCATGTTCTGTCAGTTGGATTTATTGCTACGTTTGTGGCGTTATGTGGTTGTAGATTTTACTTCAAGAGCTTTTCACTAAGTATAAAACACCGGATTGATCATTCATACATCAGCCTCACAGCAAGTGTTTTTCAAAGCAACATCAGCTATCATGTGAGAAGAACTGAGCTAGCTAGATGTCAGCAAGCCTTTGATCGCGCAACTAAGTAAAATGACCGTCCATAGTATCTTGTGTAATAACATATACTTGTTATTCAATAAGCTCCCGGATGTAACCGAATCACTAGAATATGGTGTTTCCCACATGCCCGTGTGATTTGCGTTCAACAGTTCCGATTGGAAACAAAGATTGTGGACACTGAAGGTTATTTTTGACTTCGTCTGGACCGGAAAGACTACACAAGAGGAAGAAACAGGCGCTTCTGTCGTGTGTGTTCACTCCACCTTTGCAAGTTGCAGACTGCCCTCACATAGTCTTGAAGACACTTAGGGATATGGCTGGGTGTCGCAAACAATGTCGCTCATGCGTCCACTCGTTATTCTTATAACATCAGTCTATAGAAATTCGCTGTCTTCCGCCTGAATTTGCTCTGAACACTGTAATATTCATTCTACTGTTTTATCCAAATGGGCAAACAAAACCGGCACATGAAAGTGCATGGTTAATTGTTGTAAGAACTGGAACTGAAACTCACATTCTTTTGATATTGACTCTGTTTCCGTAGGTTGTCGATTAGTTTTTTTGTTTTAATACCAGTATAATTACCGTTGATTCTATTGTCTCATAGTATATTCTTCTGAAGTCGATTTATATTCTGCTCTGCTTCAACGATTTCTGTGACCCTTCTTTACTCGATCCTCACTTGCACATTGTCTCAGGCGATTTTGATGACACTTTGATTTCTCTTCTCTTATTTAACCTCCGTAACATGAGTTTCTTCCCCGAATGGGATACAATTTATCTTAGATTTTGTTATCAACAATCATCAGTCATTTCTATCGCTGCCTCAAAAGTATCTGATCAATTCTTACATTAAACATTCTGAATTCATTCAAACTTTCCATCTTCGTAACTCATTTCCGGTAGTCAGCTCTTTTCAAGATCTTCAGCATTTTTATCTACATTCTTAATAAACCGAACTAGTCTTGATATGGTGATGGATTTCGTGATTGACGTCCTCATGATACTTTTCGTGGATATTGGCTCTGTTGAATCACGGTATTTTTCGCATTCCGGAACAACCTCATCTTATTTTAAGTGGTTCTTTTTGGTATCCAAAACATCAACCATTTACGGAAACTGCAATCGCCAGAAATCTTATTTTTAGTGAGGGAGTGCAAATCACGGGATACAGACTATGGTCCTTTCTCTAATCACTATCAGCATCGGAATAAGCTTGGATTATGGGTATGTTCTCCCGTTCACCCTTTTGATTGATCTTTACCTCCATGATACACGTCTTTGGTTGCAAATTTTTCATTTGTGGAAGTTAAGATGTGTTTATTTCTGATTGGATAGCAACCTTGCACTTATCTATAAATACCAGTCTCGTTATCATCATAAGAACTTCACCCCCTTCGCACTTAATTTTACACTACAAGTTTTCTGCTATTTTTTGCTCGCTTTCAATGACTGTGGCACCGTGTTCTTCTCCTTTTCGTAACCCGTCTGATGGAATGTTTCCCTTCACGAGAACGGAGTAGTCACTTCATTTGAAACTCTTTTGAGCTATGCATTTCATTGTGCGTATACATTTCCACTCACAATTAGCGTTAACAATATACAGCAAAATTCGCAATCCTATCGTACCCTTCTATCGCTATACAACATTCCAGTCATGACCGCATTTCACCCTTTGTGTAAAACCAGAAAAGCAAATCAATTTTTTTCTACTTCTGTTCAACTCTGTGGATAAATAACTACGCCGCCGCGTGGTATCGATATTATTTGAGACTTAAAAATAATACGGTTTGTTTCCGGCCCGTCTAACCGCTTTCACTGACACATTGGTAAAAGTTGAAACAAACGGCCACCGGAAATAGACAATTGAGAGGAGAACTGTCATCTTTATCCTGGGGATATTTCAGTGTCGTACGCGGTTCACAGACCATTCATTTGATTCCCAATGATGATTTCTCCGATGTCAAGCATGGTAGCTATTAGTGCTACTGCAAACCGATGTCATTGCAACGGTAATCATAGCTTGCCCGGAGTTGTTCACATCACTAGCATCCGATCACGGTGCGTTTGATTTGAAGATTGGCAGGAGGAAATCTGGTTACATAGGCGATTCATATCGGTAAATTACTTCTCGCATGTGACCTTTCGTTCTTTGAAAGGGTTCACTTGTGGCTATCTTTTGTGTGACTGGTTTTTTTTTGACCGTTTTGTCATCCCATTCAATCGAGTCAAGGTCACCATGGTCAGTACTTCAGTGTTTTGTGCACTTGCTTTAATTTGTACAAAAACATCGATGATCTGTTTCGTGGGATCAAAGCCTTATCGCACCAGTATAAGTCACAGCATTGTTTCACATACACCACCAGTACTCTGTCCTCAAAGTAATTTTGATGATGTTATGGTTCCATCGTTAGATGCCACCTCGAAATCATCGTATAAGGCGTCGGTTTATCCATCTCCGATCGAATCATTCACTATACATAGTCCCCATTGCACCTGATGATGCCTATTTTCTGGTTCCCTTAACTCTGTACCACATAATAATTTGGCAAAGAGCAGGTTTACACTTTGTATCAGTCATCCCACTACATAGTTTCTGTGTAATGAAAACCATGCTAGCCGATGTGTCTTAAAAACACCCAATGTCGGATATCTGGTTGCCACATCCATTTATCCGTCATTTGATTTGCAACTCATACCGATCGTTTGTGGATAAGTATTCTTTCGGCTCAGGCTCATCGTGTGATTGTCGTTGGCCAGTTACTGTGCTGCTCCAGAGGTTATTCGTTCTTGCCAGAGTAGCAGGGCACTCTGCATGTTCATGCTGACAGCGCTGATGGACTAACTTGCATCACCTACCCACCTAATAATGATGGGAGATTTGGCTGTTCCCGTCATTCAGTCATGTGTTCAAATCTCACTACCACGATCGCTTTACATTCATCCTACTTTTGTGTTTCCCAGCACCTGTTTGATTTTACCGTCCCGTTATTTGATAAAAGGTAATACGGAGTTGTTGTCGTCGTCATTATCGTACACAATTAGTTTGTTTCTGCTTGTTACCTTGAAATTATTTCTCTCTCTCTCTCTCTCAAAACGATTGTCTATTTGTCTATTCACTCTCATCTTAGAACTATGTTCCGGTGAAGACAAAGATATCCTCACAGCTCAGAAAATCCATCGCACTGTTCGAGAGTGGTGGTGGTGGTGGTGCGGTTCCGAATGGTGTCGGTCCCGAGAACCGGTAGGTCATGTAATTTTGCTTATGATTTTCGCATTCTCTTTCTGTTTGGCATTTTACTTTGCTTTTGTCTCCATTCCCTCTCCCTCACGGCGTAAAACGGCGTTTGTTCTGAATAAAGATTGCTTTTCCTCACCCCATTCATATCATGTGCTTATTCGTGATCTTTGCTCCCACTGTGGTTTGATCATTCGCCCACCACCTCTGATCGGTAATTGAATCGGTTCACGCAACCTCATTGCACCACAGTGTACAAAACACAGGATTGTGGACGCGATTGCATGGTTGCGGTCACCAATACAGTTCATAAATCATCCGTAATCATAGTCTAACGTGTGGCGCCATCGTGATTCATCCACGATCTCTCTCTCTCCCCATTCACTTGTTTTTCGCAGTCAAAGTTACTGCTAACTCCATAGTGTTCCTTGGGAATGTTTCCACCTGTTTAATTTTTCTCTTGTCACGCAAAATAGATTCAAGTCATTGGCGAGCGTAAGTGGTGCTTTTTGTCCCAATTGAGGAATTTCGGTTACTGCTCATTTTGGCTCAGTGTTATGTGATCGCCTACTGTGCTATTTGTTGCTTTCCATGTGAAAACAACCCAATCTCCACTGTTCCATCTCTCTCGTTTGATCCATCCCCTCTTTGGTAGCGCTCCACCGATTTATATTCATATACCACAAACTCGACATCTTTCTGCCGTTGTCCACCAATCACCCACACTGTCCATTCCGAATCTGAGTTTGTGAGTCACGTGTTACGCCTCTGTGGATCGATCATATGGCTCATCTAAACACACATCTTGTTTTGAGCATACTCACCGTTGCTGCACTGTTTGTTTCCTGCTCACCGTCGTCGTTCTTGACCACCCTGTTCGGGTCACACACTGGAAATAATTTACTTTTTCTAACCAGGTCATCCAATTCTGTTTAATCATATTTACTGATCATCTAGTCTGACTGTAACGTTTCTGCGTATGGATTAACATAGATTATCTCATAAACCATCAAAGGTTGGCCGAAGTGTTCCTGGTCTCTCGGTAACTTCAGATCACGTAGTGCTAGCATTTTTTTTCTCTCTCTCTATTATACACCTTTATCTTATGAAAAGCAACTGGGTTTAGCCCCATAGTCGCGATAACTTGTTGTTCAGTCTTGGAAACCTTCAATCTAGGCCTCGGGACTTGGAGTGGCTAATAGCACCTATGACCCCACTAGCATTAGACTGAACGACAACGAAGCTGCCCACCAACCAAAGTGAGAGGCAGTGGCGGTGTTGGCACATCAGACCCTAGGGTACGAGGTATGTCGGTGCCAGCAACTTAAATCACATGAACACTAACCCTGTTTTGCATCCCATTTCCGGATCAGAAGTACCTTGCACAACCTTATTTAATTACTGATAATACAAATTACCTTTCTAATTTGTTCCTCTCAATTCATTCAAAATGATCTGTTCTTGATTCGTCGCGATCTTGGACTAGTTGACATAGCTAATGGTTTATCGGTGTGTTTTAGTGCCTGCTCCCAGTCTCGTTTTCTCGCCGATTTTGTGGACCATGTTTATCCCGTTAGTTTATGTCCGATTTGGCTATCGGTACACGCCAGAACCCAGTCGAGCTTGTGTGTACATGGTTAATCCGGGGAAGCGTTTGACAAAGAGGATTCTTTCAATGTATCATTAAAACGGTAAGCTTTTAACACGCCTAATGCCCATATATTTTCTTGAATTGTTTAGCTATCAANAGAGGAACCCTTCCGGTAGATGAACGAGTTCCGTGCAGTCATTGGGTAAGAACAGAATCCCAACGGTGAAACACCGTAATGTGTGTTGCACGTTAGAGTCATAGGATCTACTTGACTCGGTCATGTGTGCCTCAACAAACTGTATTAGTGTTGGGTTGAGCGGCAATAATGCTGCATTCCACCAAACTAGACTGGTAGTGGCGCAGTTGAGTACCTAAACATCACGGACTGCTGCTTACCGGTGACAGTAACCTGCTATACTACCACCACTGTTCAAGGTCTCACATTATTTACAAGAATACTTGAACTAGGGTGAATTGGACTGGTTGGTGAGTATCATCAAACGGCAATGAAAAAAGTGACAGCAAGCATTGATCGGAGTACAATATTTTCCCATCTCTTTTGGTGTCGAATTTCTCATTGTGCTTCGGTTATCTCATATCCAATTGTGAACCGCCTTCGTTTGAATTTTTACGCCATCCCAAAATTTCAACCTTATCCAGAACCATCGTTCTTTGTGTGTAGTTTTAGACAACACCTTATTTCTTTATTTCACCATATACGATAAAGCATTTTACAGCTGTTTGAACCCGGTTTGGTCTTATTGGCAATTAGAACTTTTCACTTGACCTACTGTTTCGATAAAGGACCCCGCCCTCCGACGGGACGCGGACTGGTGCCCGAGAATGAGTTCTGTTCGTGTTCATCTGGGCAGGCAACATATTGATAAAATGTTTCGTGTGCATTTTCTGTCGACCTGTCCAATGAACTGTTCCCACATTGTTTTCACACGAGCACGTGCTCGTGAAATATTCGTACCTCGGTTACTTTCTCTGTGCGTTTCGCTCCGGAGTTCTCATCATTGTTGCAAGTGTAAAGGACACAAGGTTTTGTTTGACTGACTTGATGAAAAACCGGTGGCTGGAGTAGTTTTATTGGATTCTCTCTGAATGTCTTTTTGGTTCGATCTTCGAGAGAATTGAGCGATTGCAGGTATTACCATGTCACCGTTTACTGTAACGGAAGTGGAATGAGCTATTCTTAATCATCTTCGTCTCCCATGTAATAGTTAAATAACCTGAGTTTAACCCAAATTACTCACAGATTGATGTGTTTAACACACTGAATGCTTTATGTTTTCGGGTGACAACGGGTTATTCCAAAATTGGTGCTTCTACCGTTGGTCGTTTTAACCAATATTACACATTTTCTGATTTGATCACAGCTGTTTGTGCGCCATTTGTTTCCCACTTGTTGTGTCGTGCTCATTTTGGATACTCGCTTGTCTCAATTCACGAAAGGTGTGAAAAACTGTCGCTGAATGAATGCGGTGGTAAACACAAATTCCTTGGTAGAACCATAGCCACGGTGCTATTTGTACCTTAACTACAATAATCTGAATGATTTTTTAAATTTTACTGTATTATTGCACATTTGTTTGGCGGGGTAAACTCCATAGTCGCAAAGACCCGCTGTTCACTTATGGAAACCCGGAACTTGTAGTAGCGAACCAGATAAGGACGCTCTGGACTGGGCGTAGTATGGAAACGAACTGTCAGCGGTGTGGTTGTAGTTCAACTTTACTTCCGTTGCCTCTACCCACCACCAAAGTTGGGTGGCAGTCACGGGGGTTTAAATCTCGGAACATGGGATCCCAAGCACGCCGGTGACAGCCACCAAAACACCTCATCGCCACCACTGTAATTATATGAAGTATCCAGTTTTGTTCGAAAGCTCAGACAAACATGGTATGAGCTGGTTGGCACAGTGGTAACGCACACGCCTTTGATGCGATGGGTACGGAGTGCGAAACTTGAGTCTAGTACTTCCGAGTGTATGGTTGAATCGATGAACTGAGGATTGTGCCTGAAGTTGCCGTCCGAAGAATAGTCAGTTCAGATCAACAAATATTCTGTTTCTTTCAAAACTGGTGTTCCATTCTTGTAAAAATATGCCTAGTTGATTTGACCATATCTGATTTCACTACCTGTAGATGGGTTCCTCTGACCTGACCCATACGAACGAGGTCTACCACCACGCAAGTGCATGTCTATTCATCTTTGGCGTCAACGGGATGTTTCATTAAACTTGAACGGTCATGTTTATTATGCCGCAGTACGATCAGTTCCGTTTTCCAGTTGCGAGACCTTAATTTTCCAAATAGCAGATATCCATCGGCTAGGGGTTTTTGACAACCACTGTTTATATAGTTTTTTAGCGTGGGTAGAACGGAATAAATGTGTTTGTAACTTGGAGACAAACCGCTGTGAGTTCAAGACTGTTTCGACAGTAAATTCATTATCCCATCCAATCTAAATGAGTATGTAAGCTTCGCAGTTTGCGACACGTTTACCTGTAGTCGACCGCACCGTGTTTTGGTAATGGTTCTCGTTCCAAGTTGGTAAATATCAATAGGTGACTTTGAAAGGTGCTAATTGCACTTGTTCAGTGCACGGCTTCTTGTTCGAATTGTTTCCTTCACTTGCCGATATCATTCCCAGTTCATCTTTGTTTTTCGTCTTCAGGTCCGATCTCAATAGTTCGGGTAGCTCGGCCGAAATAACCGATAAGCAGAATCAGCCCATAGTCAGACAGCGCGACTCATTTGAGCATTACCAACCCGTATCAGACCGATCCACGACCGGTGAATCCACTGACCCGACTCAACTGCGCCAGACCTCACCGCCGAAACAGTCGGATGTGGGGCAATCCCAATCCATCACTTCCCATCCTGATGCCACGGATCCATCCGATACTCAACTCCCGCGAAACGTGGATATGAAAAAGAACGGTATGTGTAGCTTCTATTTCTACGAACCGCTTACCTTACCGACTTGTTTTCTGAGCCCCATCTGTCCAGTTGTGGTTTGTGCCACCATTATACATAAACTTTCGTGCGGTGTATTTGGTTGCTATCCTTTAGCTGCCCATTTTGACGAAAGATTGTGAGGAGGAAATAGAAAGCTGAGAGAAGTATTTGTGTCAACATTCATGCAGACTAGGGTTTTGAAGAAAATGAATGAATGCTCTGTTCACGACACTCAGCCATATCACTTATTGTTTCAAATTGTCTAATGCACATATTTTGTGGTACTAATTCACAAAACATAACCCTACTTTTATAACCGAGTACCGTGGTCAGGGTGTTCATATCCGCATATCGGGTCTTCGTTTAGTCACCGTTGTTTATTTCATCCACCACCAGCTTCGTCAAGCTTTCTTTATCGAAAATCCTATCAACTCAATGCTCAAGTGGGATCCCTGGACGAATCAGAAAGGCTTCTCGGCGGACTACATGCAATCCCAGCCAACCGGACGGACAGCGGAGATCGCCTACTTCAACTCTGCGCGGACCACGGATTGTTCTTGTCAAACACGAACTTCTCACACAAGAAACGCCAT